TAATAATAATAATAAGCCATTTAGCAGACGCTTTTATCCAAAGCGACTTACAGTCATGCGTGCATACATTTTTACCTCCACAATAATCAGGTGTGTAATAAACAAAACAAAACAAATGGAATGATGAGATGAGGAGCGGCAGTGGCTAGAAGGCCGGTGACGACGAACGCCAAAGGAGAGGAGGCAGCTTCGGAGGAAGTCGTGACAACATTATAGCCACGTTTCATTTTCTTTGTAATGCGTCAACATATACTGAGTGTACAAAACATTAGGAACACCCACTCTTTCCATGACATAGACTGACCAGGTGAATCCAGGTGAAAGCTATGATCCCTTATTGATGTCACCGGTTAAATCCACTTCAATCAATGTAGATGAACTGGGGAGAAGAGGTTAAAGAATAATTTTAAAGCCTTGAGACATGGATTGTGTATGCGTGCCATTCAGAGGGTGAATAGGCAAGACAACATATTTAAGTGCCTTTGAACAGGATATGGTAGTAGGTGCCAGGCACAGCGGTTTGAGTTTGTCAAGAGCTGCAACGCTGCTGAGTTTTTCACGCTCAACAGTTTCTCGTGTATCAAGAATGGTACACCACCCAAAGGACATCCAGCCAACTTGACATAACTGTGGGAAGCATTGGAGTCAACATGGCCCAGCATCCCTGTGGAAACTTTCGACACCTGGTAGAGTCCATGCCCTGACAAATTGAGGATGTTCTGAGGGCAAAAATGTGTTCCTAATGTAATGTACACTCAGTGTATAATGTAGCATATAACATATTACGTTTTATATTTATACTCAACATTTTCACAATTACAAATGTCAGTATGTATGATGTTCTAATTTGATGGAAATGTGTGTTATAGTGACAGATTATTTATTAAGCAATTTGTATGTTTTCTTGTCACAGGTGTCGTGATGTGACTAACATTAATCTGAAGACTGTTATCTCTAATTAACTAACTAGGTTTACTTGTTACCCGATTAAATGAATCATGTAACAATTAACTCATTAGTATATGAGGCACCACGAGAGCGGTTTCTTAAAGACTTACCATCTCCCGAATTAAACTCTAAAAAAAGGTCTTTACCTATAACATCTATAAACAGTCAACTTATTAATCACAACCTCGTATCATATCATTCTGAACGTTGTAACCTCCTTGCATCTACAAAAACCAGAGCCTTACTTATGATTCAGTACTACACAAATTGGTTTAATTATTTATTTAGTAGCTAATTAAATGGGAACACAGGATAAACATACACACTCTGCACCGGTTATTGACTGGAGAAAACAGGTCCCTAGCGGAATGACAACAACATGGCTTGTTAAAGAAGAGATGAAGAGGGAGAGCGCGAGAGGGACAGAGATAATACTTTGATACATTAAAACTACGCTCACCTAAGGTACCCATATACTTTGCACACGAACTACCGCCATCTTTGAGTAAGAAATTATGAATGTATTTACGTACAAGGCCTGGTTCGCCGTGTATCTCTCGGTGGACAGGACCGCCCTGGAAAGGGAGTTGGGCCTTTTCTGATTGTCCATAAAGTTCCAACAAGTCTTCTGTTGTTCTCCTCTGTAGTTGTCCGGTATCCGGTGACTTGTCATGTAGTCCTGAACAGAACTATAGAATGGATTTTCCTTCCATTCGCTCTTGAAGTGGCTTCTTTGAAGAAAGGCTAGCCAGCCGTATCAATGGTCCCCAGTGGGGTGACGAGAGTAGCGTCACACGATGGCTTGAGCAGAGTAACAGATGATGGTCATACTTAAATTCGCTTTCGAAGATACTTTAGACAGCTAATCAGCCGAACCAGTGATTGTCTGGGAGGGGAGTTTATTCTCTACACCTCGTGTTGAGATTCAAAGTTCCAACCATTTTAAACGTGTAGCTCCCGCTTCATGCTTTTCTGGTGTAACATGTTAATTCGTAACCCATCCTTCTATACACTCTGCTCGAAAGGGCTGGTTCCGTCAGGCTGACACGCTCTCCGACCTCACACGGGGACATGACTACTTACTGTGCAAAGCTTATGGAAAACAATTATCTCTTATAGCGTTCTCAAATCACATTCCTATCTTAACAAAAATACTTTTATATTTTTCATATTACATGCACAACGCATAGGATGGAAACTTCGCATATATAGGGAGTATACTTTCCAAGTTTACAGTATTTCCTTTATAACATTTTTAATGACATCACAAAATAACAACCCAATTGACATTAGCATTCTATAAATCGCCTCTGACCATTCCCCACATTTTATGTTAGAAATATTGTTGCAGTATTAGCTTTAGAACGTGTTAGAGTTTCGGCGGGAAAAGTCTGTGGAAACAAAGGCACATTCTTCTAGTGAACATTTGATAGGGAGACCTGACTCTCCTCTTCTTGATGTGTCAACCCCCCACCAGTTCCCTCCTCCCCCTTCTGCGGGTGAGAGGGGGTCTGGTTGAAGATATTCATTGCAAACCTGATCGGACCTATTTGGATCCTCACAGGACAGTCATGACATAGAATATTATGTAATCAAAAGATGTATAGCTTGAAATCATGTTTTTAAAAGTTCTCTATTGTATACATTTCTGCTAGTGGCCCACTGTCTGAGAGTATGCACATATTGCAGAGAGTGGCTTTAAGATTCCCATAAGCATTCATTCACCGTTATAACTTGAAAATTACCTGAATTCATCACTTTATATGATTGGATTTAACCTAATCATATTGATACATACAGTATTGCACAATAACCACAATAATATAGAGAACTAGTAATAAGAAGTACTACTAGGTGATATAGATTCAATTATTAAAAGAAGATAACATCAGAAAATAAATATGAAAATATGACTTATTTTACACTTGCAACCATTCCATGCCTCATTAAGAAATCTTCATAACCACAAGGTCCTGTACATTTCCTCTATCAAGGTGTTATCAGGCGGTAGACAGTGCATTCGGAAAGTATGTTAGATTGGGTTCAAGTCAGGGCTATGGCTGAGCCACTCAAGGACATTCAGAGACTTGTCCCGAAGCCACTCCTGTGTTGTCTTGGCTGTGGTTCATTGTCCTGTTGGAAGGTGAACCTTCGCCCCAGTCTGAGGTCATGAGCATGGCTTCGGGACAAGTCTCTGAATGTCCTTGAGTGGCCCAGCCAGAGCCTGGACTTCAACCCAATCTAATATCTCTGGAGAGACCTGGAAATAGCTGTGCAGCAACGCTCCCCATCCAACCTGACAGAGCTTGAGAGGATCTGCAGAGAAGAATGGGAGAAACTACCCAAATACAGGTGTGCCACGCTTGTAGCGTCATACTCGAGGTTGAAATCGTTTCCAAAGGTGATTCAACAAAGTACTGAGTAAAGGGTCTGGATAGTTATTTAAATGTAATATTTCAGGTTTTTATATTGTAATACATTTGCAAAAATGTAAAAAAAAAACAGTTTTTCCTTTGTCATTATGGGGTATTATGTGTATATTGATGAAGAAAAAAACAATTTAATCCATTTTAGAATAAGGCTGTAACATAAAATGTGGAAAAGTCAAGGGGTCTGAATACTTTACGAATGCACTGATGTGTTTGTGTCAGCGTAGACTTTGAACTACCCATAGTAGTCCACAAAAGATGTGGTTTTCCAACCTTGTCCAGTGTGATGATCTCTCCTATCATTGACAACACTGGTACTTTGCCCATCTTCCCCCGTCACTTTTATACCCAACTTGATAGTTATTTATGGTCCATTCTTTTGAATGCCTTACTCAGCATAGAGGGCTATAATTTTCGTTAAATTGGTCTGTAAATTGTTATTATTCTAGATCTGGGGCAGGGCCAACTGCAGCCCACTCTAATGGGGAACAAGTGCATGGGGGCAGCAAATGTAATTGATCAGCTGCTCGATTAAGAGAAGGAATTAAGAGATGCTAGAACAAGGAGCGGAACGAGGAACTCCACCCTCTCTCTTTGCAAGTAATGGGCAAGTCCTTCACAACATATTATATGGCACCAGTTGTTTACGTAGATCTGTCCACGAGAGATTACACTTCTCTCCCAACGATTACTCAAACTTCATTATTCTATTTTGCCTGAATTAAGATATATATCGGCAGAAAGGCACAACACAAAATAGAATAGAATGGTTTTGAGAAATCCTTTGGCACCAATAAGGGCACTAGGGGAGGCTTGGATACCAAGAACACTTCCTCAAATCCTCTCAAAGGCTTCCCAACCCTGCTTATGTTGATGGTATTTGAGGAAATACAATAACTCAGTCTCTTGAACTAAATAGATTTACATAATGAATCAATAATACTTGCATTTACTTCTGAGTGAAGTCCACACATTACTGTTGACTCCAAGTGATCTAGCTTAGACTAGGGCTTCTTGTACTTTAGACCTAGCCCTAGCTGAGACAGGACAACATATGAATGACTGCAAACCTTTTTGAATGATGGTTTTAGGTACATTTTAAGTACAAAGTTTTCAGTGTAGTACCAACAATGAAGTTCTAATCACAATTGTGTATATTTTCTGTGGCCAAACATTGAAATTCTTAGCAACAAGTGTCAGAGATTGCAACCCCAGGTATCAGAGTTATTTCGCGCAACGTAGCAAAAATAGTGGTAGACCCATACCCAGTGAACCACTGTTTGCTTTGTAGTTGGCACAGTTGGCGGTGCGCCAACCTCCATCTCTGCTTCTAGGTCATGTACATATTGTTTAGAATTATAAAATAGTTATCGTTCCATGATCATCAAAGCCATAAGTAATTGAAATGTTTAATTTACTACAGTATACTAATTCAATAAAACATTATGCAAGTACTACTAAAACGAATAATATTGAACCTGCTTTCATTTACAGTACATTAGATGGTGATGACTCAGGAATTTAACACAATGTGGTCACATATGCTGTGGACATCTAACAAGGTATAAAAGGGCAAGGGGGCCACTAGCATTTACAGTCAAGCTTAAACAACCAACAGCCACCATGACCATGGGCAAGGTACGTGGCATTTCAACTATTTTCTTAATCATTCTAACTAAATGACTGCTTTTGATATGTGTTTACTGTACCTTACTGCTGCAATAGTTGTTGTATCACATTCTTACAACTTGTCTTGCAGATCATCTTCTATGAGGACAAGAACTTCCAGGGACGTTCTTACGAGACCAGCAATGACTGCCCTGAGCTGACTTCCCACCTGAGCAGGTGCAACTCCTGCAGGGTTGAGAGCGGCTGCTTCATGGTCTATGAGCGGCCCAACTTCATGGGACACCAGATGCTGGTCAGAAGAGGAGAGTACCCCGACAACCAGCATCTAATGGGCATGACCCAGAGTGACTGCATCAGGTCCAGCCATATGATCCCCATGGTAAGGAGAAGAGAGCATTTCTTCCTTTAAATTACAAAGCAGGCTTCTTAAAATGTCAGACCTTGGAATTAATGCAAATTGTTTTAAATTCTCCACCAACAGCACAGAGGCTCCTACAGAATGAAGATCTACGAGAAGGAGAACTTTGGAGGTCAGAACATGGAGCTGATGGACGACTGTGACTCCATCCAGGATCGTTACCACATGTCCGATTGCCAGTCTGCCCAGGTTATGGATGGCCACTGGCTGATGTTTGAGCAGCCCCACTTCAGAGGCAGAATGATGTACATGAGGCCCGGAGAGTACAGGAGCTTTAGGGATATGGGCGTGGGTGCCAAGGGCATGAGGTTCATGAGCATGAGGCGTATCACTGACATGTGCTAAATCATCTGATTGTCAATAGAAAAAATAAACACTATCTACCAGTATGTCTTACTCATTACATACCCCCTCTTCAGTCTGAAATATTACTTTCATTTTATAATATATTACATCATAAGACATACTATACAGTGTTGATCTGTGCATATCAAAATGTCCTAAAAACAGCCATTAGACGTTCAAGCACCATTGCTATCAAATATTATGTAAAAAAAAATATATGTTGGTAATAAAATATAAAACTGTAAACCTAAAAGTGCAATACAATCACTAGCTGTAGCGTGTGCTAAAAATATGTCTTAAAAGGATCATCAGATAGCATTCCATGTTTATGGGTTATTATTTCCAAGGGATGGCAGAAAGAGAATAGGAAGGTTCCAAGCACTGAACCTTGCAGAACACCAAATTCTGGACCCTTATTGTTCTCCCTACATATGCTAAGCCTTGGAAACATTACACATTTCCATTTGTGTCTTGAAGGCTAAGTGCATAGTCTAATAATCCGAGTCAACAGTTTCCTTGAAAAAAATAAATGTAATTCAAAAATGCATTTTAAAAAAGAGCTACAAATTAAAATATTTAACAAGATCCATGATGCGTCTAACAGAACTATGTCTCAATCCGTTGCTTTCCATCTCCCTGAGGTTCCTGTACTCTCCGGGCCTCATGTACATCATCCTGCCTCTGAAGCAGGGACACTGCTCGTACATGAGCCAGTGTCCCTCCATGACCTGGGCAGACTCACAGTTGGCCATGCGGTAACACTCCTGGAAGGACTCACAATCCTCCATCAGCTCGTTCATCTGACCTCCGAAGTTCTCCCTCTCGTAGACCCTCATCCTGAAGGATCCTCTGTGCTATTGTGGAGAAAAATGTTCCTTCATATTCAAGTGTATCTGTCTAGTCATCAATAGCTCCTCACAGCATCCATTGTGACATGAATTATAGACATTTGGAGATGGGGATTTCCCTAAAGCAAATCACATTAGTTCATGAAACACCACAAGGAAGCCAAACCTAAATTACCAGTCAAAAGTTTGGACACACCTACTCATTAAAGGGTTCTTTATTTCTACTATTTTCTACATTGTAGAATAATAGTGAAGACATCAAAACTATGAAATAACACATATGGAATCATGTAGTAACCAAAAAATTCTTAAACAAATCAAAATATATTTGAGATTTGAGATTCTTCATAGTAGCCAACTTTTGCGTTGATGACAGCTTTGCACACTCTTCGCGTTCTCTCAACCAGCTTCACCTGGAATGCTTTTCCAACAGTCTTGAAGGAGTTCCCACATATGCTGAGCACTTGTTGGCTGCTTTTCCTTCACTCTGCGGTCCAACTCATCCCAAACCATCTCAATTGGGTTGAGGTCGAGTGATTGTGGAGCCCAGGTCATCTGACGCAGCACTCCATCAAACTCCTTCTTGGTCAAATAGCCCTTACACAGCCTGGAGGTGTGCTTTGGGTCATTGTCCTGTTGAAAAACAAATGATAGTCCCACTAAGCGCAAACCAGATGGGATGGCGTATCGCTGCAGAATGCTGTGGTAGCCATGCTGGTTAAGTGTGCCTTGAATTCTAAATAAATCACTGACAGTGTCACCAGCAAAGCAGTGACACACCATCACACCTTCAGTGACACACCATCACACCTTCTCCTCCATGCTTCACAGTAGGAACCCCACATGCGGAAATCATCCGTTCACCTACTCTGTGTCTCACAAAGACGGCGGTTGTAACCAAAAATCTCAATTTGGTCTCATCAGACCAAAAGAACACATTTCCACCGGTCCAATGTCCATTGCTCGTGTTTATTGGCCCAAGCAAGTCTCTTCTTCTTGGTGTCCTTTAGTAGTGTTTTTTTTGCAGCAATTTGACCATGAAGGCCTGATTCACACAGTCTCCTCTGAACAGTTGATGTTGAGATGTGTCTGTTACTTGAACTCTCAAGTATTTATTTGGGTGTCAATTTCTGAGGCTGGTAACTCTTAATGAACTAACTCTGGGCCTTTCCTGTGGTGGTCCTCATGAGAGCCAGTTTCATCATAGAGCTTGATGGTTTTTGCGACTGCACTTGAAGAAACTTTTAAAGTTCTTGACATTTTGCGGATTGACTGACCTTCATGTCTTAAAGTAATGATGGACTGTCCTTTCTCTTTTTCGCTGTTCTTGCCGTAATATGGCTTTTACCAAATAGGGGCATCTTCTGTATACCACCCCTACCTTGTCACAACACAACTGATTGGCTCAAACACATTAACTTTTAACAAGGCACACCTGTTAATTGAAATGCATTCAAGGTGACTACCTCATAAAGCTGGTTGAGAGAATGCCAAGAGTGTGCAAAGCTGTCATCAAGGCAAAGGGTGGCTTTGAAGAATCTCAAATATAAAATATATCTTGATTTGTTCAATACTTTTTTGGTTACTACATGATTCCATTTGTGTTATTTCATAGTTTTGATGTCTTCACTATTATTCTACAATGTATAAAATAGTAAAAATAAAGAAAAACCCTTGAATGAGTAGGTGTGTCCAAACTTTTGACTGGTACTATATATATATATATATATATATATATATATATATATATATCTCCATAGGCATGTAGTCGGAGTACTCTCCCCTCCTCAGAAAGAACTGGTTTCCCATGAAGTTGGAAAGGTTGTATACCATGAAGCATCCAGTTGCAGCGACTCAGGTGGGGTGACATATCAGAGCAGTCGCTCATGCACTCATAAGAGCGGCCCTGGATGTTGTCCTCGTAGAAGATTACACACATCAAATGTTCAATTCACTTTCTCAAGTCATTTGCTGAATTTCAGTGAAGTTTTGTTACAAATACACAGGATTAGTGACACTAAGCCTTTGCTTTCATCATACCCTACTATTAAGCAATAAGGCCCTAGGAGGTGTGGTACATGGCCAATATACCATGGCTAAGGGATGTTCTTATGCAGACGCAACGCGGAGTGCCTGGATACAGCCCTTTTCCATGATGTGTATTTATTTTTATTTTTTTCCCCTTTATTTAACCAGGTAAGCCAGTTGAGAACAAGTTCTCATTTACAACTGCGACCTGGCCAAGATAAAGCAAAGCAGTGTGATAAAAACAACAACACAGAGTTACATATGGGGTAAAATAAAACATAAAGTCAAAAATACAACAGAATATACAGTGGGGGAAAAAAGTATTTAGTCAGCCACCAATTGTGCAAGTTCTCCCACTTAAAAAGATGAGAGAGGCCTGTAATTTTCATCATAGGTACACGTCAACCATGACAGACAAATTGAGAAAAAATAATCCAGAAAATCACATTGTAGGATTTTTAATGAATTTATTTGCAAATTATGGTGGAAAATAAGTATTTGGTCACCTACAAACAAGCAAGATTTCTGGCTCTCACAGACCTGTAACTTCTTCTTTAAGAGGCTCCTCTGTCCTCCACTCATTACCTGTATTAATGGCACCTGTTTGAACTTGTTATCAGTATAAAAGACACCTGTCCACAACCTCAAACAGTCACACTCCAAACTCCACTATGGCCAAGACCAAAGAGCTGTCAAAGGACACCAGAAACAAAATTGTAGACCTGCACCAGGCTGGGAAGACTGAATCTGCAATAGGTAAGCAGCTTGGTTTGAAGAAATCAACTGTGGGAGCAATTATTAGGAAATGGAAGACATACAAGACCACTGATAATCTCCCTCGATCTGGGGCTCCACGCAAGATCTCACCCCGTGGGGTCAAAATGATCACAAGAACGGTGAACAAAAATCCCAGAACCACACGGGGGGACCTAGTGAATGACCTGCAGAGAGCTGGGACCAAAGTAACAAAGCCTACCATCAGTAACACACTACGCCGCCAGGGACTCAAATCCTGCAGTGCCAGACGTGTCCCCCTGCTTAAGCCAGTACATGTCCAGGCCCATCTGAAGTTTGCTAGAGTGCATTTGGATGATCCAGAAGAGGATTGGGAAAATGTCATATGGTCAGATGAAACCAAAATAGAACTTTTTGGTAAAAACTCAACTCGTCGTGTTTGGAGGACAAAGAATGCTGAGTTGCATCCAAAGAACACCATACCTACTGTGAAGCATGGGGGTGGAAACATCATGCTTTGGGGCTGTTTTTCTGCAAAGGGACCAGGACGACTGATCCGTGTAAAGGAAAGAATGAATGGGGCCATGTATTGTGAGATTTTGAGTGAAAACCTCCTTCCATCAGCAAGGGCATTGAAGATGAAACGTGGCTGGGTCTTTCAGCATGACAATGATCCCAAACACACCACCCGGGCAACAAAGGAGTGGCTTCGTAAGAAGCATTTCAAGGTCCTGGAGTGGCCTAGCCAGTCTCCAGATCTCAACCCCATAGAAAATCTTTGGAGGGAGTTGAAAGTCCGTGTTGCCCAGCGACAGCCCCAAAACATCACTGCTCTAGAGGAGATCTGCATGGAGGAATGGGCCAAAATACAGGCAACAGTGTGTGAAAACCTTGTGGAGACTTACAGAAAACGTTTGACCTGTGTCATTGCCAACAAAGGGTATATAACAAAGTATTGAGAAACTTTTGTTATTGACCAAATACTTATTTTCCACCATAATTTGCAAATAAATTCATTAAAAAATCGTACATTGTGATTTTCTGGATTTTTTTTCCTCATTTTGTCTGTCATAGTTGACGTGTACCTATGATGAAAATTACAGGCCTCTCTCATCTTTTTAAGTGGGAGAACTTGCACAATTTGTGGCTGACTAAATACTTGTTTTCCCCACTGTATATACAGTGTGTGCAAATGTAGCAAGTTATGGAGGTAAGGCAATAAATAGGCTATAGTGCAAAATAATTACAATTAGTATTAACACTGGAATGATAGATGTGCAAGAGATGATGTGCAAATAGAGATACTGGTGTGCAAATGAGCAAAATAAATAACAATATGGGGATGAGGTAGTTGGGTAGGCTAATTTCAGATGGGCTGTGTACAGGTGCAGTGATCGGTAAGGTGCTCTGACAACTGATGCTTAAAGTTAGTGAGGGAGATAAGAGTCTCCAGCTTCAGAGATTTTTGCAATTTGTTCCAGTCATTATGCAGCAGAGAACTGGAAGGAATGGCGGCCAAAGGAGGTGTTGGCTTTGGGAATGACCAGTGAGATATACCTGCTGGAGCGCATACTACGGGTGGGTGTTGCGATGGTGACCAATGAGCTAAGATAAGGCGGGGACTTGCCTAGCAGTGATTTATAGATGGCCTGGAGCCAGTGGGTTTGGCGACGAGTATGTATTGGCCATATACCACAAACCCCCAAGGTGCCTTATTGCTATCATAAACTGGTTACCAACGTAATTAGACCAGTAAAATATTTTTGGATCCTACCCATGGTATACGGTCTGATACACCACGGCTTTCAGCCAATCAGCATTCATGGCTCGAACCACCCGGGTTATAATATGCAATAAACTATGATGATCTAACTATCAATTTTTCCCTACAGTGAGGGAAAAAAGTATTTGATCCCCTGCTGATTTTGTACGTTTGCCCACTGACAAATAAATTATCAGTCTATAATTTTAATGGTAGGTTTATTTGAACAGTAAGAGACAGAATAACAACAAAATCGAGAAAAACACATGTCAAAAATGTTAAATTGATTTGCATTTTAAATGAGGGAAATAATTATTTGACCCCCTCTCAATCAGAAAGATTTCTGGCTCCCAGGTGTCTTTTATACAGGTAACGAGCTGAGATTAGGAGCACACTCTTAAAGGAAGCAATCAATCAATCAGATTCCAAAAACTCTCCACCATGGCCAAGACCAAAGAGCTCTCCAAGGATGTCAGGGACAAGATTGTAGACCTACACAAGGCTGGAATGGGCTACAAGACCATCGCCAAGCAGCTTGGTGAGAAGGTGACAACAGTTGGTGTGATTTTTTGCAAATGGAAGAAACAAAATAACTGTCAATCTCCCTCGGCCTGGGGCTCCATGCAAGATATCACCTCGTGGAGTTGCATTGATCATGAAAACGGTGAGGAATCAACCAAGAACTACACAGGAGGATCTTGTCAATGATCTCAAGGCAGCTGGGACCATAGTCACCAAGAAAACAATTGGTAAAACACTACGCCGTGAAGGACTGAAATCATGCAGCGCCCGCAAGGTCCCCCTGCTCAAGAAAGCACATATACATGCCCGTCTGAAGTTTGCCAATGAACATCTGAATGATTCAGAGGAGAACTGGGTGAAAGTGTTGTGGTGAGATGAGACCAAAATCTAGCTCTTTGGCATCAACTCAACTCGCCGTGTTTGGAGGAGGAATGCTGCCTATGACCCCAAGAACACCATCCCCACCATCAAACATGGAGGTGGAAACATTATGCTTTGGGGGTGTTTTTCTGCTAAGGGGACAGGACAACTTCACCGCATCAAAAGGGACGATGGACGGGGCCATGTACCGTAAAATCTTGGGTGAGAACCTCCTTCCCTCAGCCAGGGCATTGAAAATGGGTTGTGGATGGGTATTCCAGCATGACAATGATCCAAAACACACGTCCAAGGCAACAAAGGAGTGGCTCAAGAAGAGGCACATTAAGGTCCTGGAGTGGCCTAGCCAGTCTCCAGACCTTAATCCCATAGAAAATCTGTAGAGGTAGCTGAAGGTTCGAGTTGCCAAACGTCAGGCTCGAAACCTTAATGACTTGGAGAAGACCTGCAAAGAGGAGTGGGACAAAATCCCTCCTGAGATGTGTACAAACCTGGTGGCCAACTACAAGACACGTCTGACCTCTGTGATTTGCCACCAAGTACTAAGTCATGTTTTGCAGAGGGGTCGAATACTTATTTCCCTCATTAAAATGCAAATCAATTTATAACATTTTTGTCATGCGTTTCTGGATTTTTTGTTTGTTATTCTGTCTCTCACTGTTCAAATAAACCTACCATTAAAATTATAGACTGATCATGTCTTTGTCAGTACAAAATCAGCAGGGGATCAAATAGTTTTTTCCCCTCACTATCTTTATCCCATTTCAAGCTGTCTGCAGTACTTTTCCATTAGCTGAATCCGTGATTGTGCTGCGTTAGAGGACTGACAGGTTGACCCAGAGCTGGCTGATATGTATGTACCTTGTTTGATGTTCTTTGTGGGATTCTGTCCAACGACCTGCGGCTGCCAGTGGGCTTTTATACTTTATACGCACCGTAATGGGGTTTTGTTATTCACATTTTCTGGAACCTGATGAATAAGCAGGTCTGCAATCACTGTTCATTTCTTTGCGCTATCACGACTCTTGAAAAAAGTTAATATTCTGTTAACTAATACTCAAATAATGTTGTTGATTCATCCTATACTCGTATTTGTGGCAAAAACATAAAAAAATAAAATAATAAACACCTGAAACTTGTATCTCAAACAGACCATTTAAAAAATGCTTGCTATTTCCTCATATTTGTATGATATCATACTCTGAGGAGGATGAGCTGGCCAATTAGCGGTCTACTTGCATGAATATTTTTTATGACAGGTATACGTCCACACCATTCTGTTGTTGGGGAACGCCCACACCATTTCAAGACAGAAAAGCTGCTTATTAACATACTTAATAAAAAAGAATTGGAAGGAAAACTGTAGGTCATATTTCATAGAAATCTGGAAACACTGGACAGTTACTACCCTTTTTGAATGCCGTACAAAAGCACAAAATGATGGTATTTATGAAATATGATAATAAAATCGGCTCATTTCGGGAATGCGAGTTTAAAACATTGATCCGTCAATATCACATTGAATTTATTGCTCTCCTTCGAGAGAGACTTGTCTATAAAATACAAACGTCAGTCCCATTTCCCACAATAAGTGAGCCTAATATGTGGGAACTGACATTATGCAAATCATTGTTTTACGCCATTGTCTATGTTTGTGTTGTTTGTTTACAAAGACTCACATGACAAGTATAGTTTCAAAACGTTCAAAGCTATCATTTCAATCTCATGGACAGTCAAACCTTGCATACATAGCTCTGTTGATACATTTCCCCCATACAAAGCCAAGTGGTGGGATTGCCGTTGGGCTGAAACAAACAAACAAACAAACTCAGGATTGTGGCTTCAATCAAGGGCATGCTTCAAAGCACCAACAGCGGTTCAAGAGATTAAGGGGCTCAGCCTTTACAAAAATGTTTCTATAAGTTAATGTATTGAAGAACGTAGGCTTTAGCTCAGCAAGCTTATACACTCCTGTGGTGCTCAGGAGATCCAGGTTCGAACCTGGATGGGCCTCGTTGTGAAGGAGGTCAAAGGGGGTTGAAGTGGAGCGGAGGTGGTTCAATAAAGGTCACTCATAGATTTTTGCCTGAGACCTAAAGATTTCACTTAGCTCGCTGAAGTAACACTGGCTTGTAGGGGACCCACATAGCAGAATCACAACTATTAAATCAACACAGTGTTAAATGTAATACTCAAAAGTGTATATATAGTGCCATACCACAGACTTAATTTTACTGTTTCTGTCACTGGCCAACAATATTTGTTGAAATCACTTTACACTGGTGTTAAGTGTTAAAAATATATTTAATCATGGGAAGGAGGTAATGTAACCATTCAAATTCATAGACAGAGATGGATGCAAGACACAGTCCATGAGATTAGCATGAAGGTTAAACATTTTGAGGCTATACATTGTTTGTTAACAAATACTAAAATTACAACAAAAACAAACAATGGAGTAATACAGCCTTAGATTGAGGGTTAATATCTATAATATGTGGTTTCAGATTGGTTTGCTATTGAACTGAGTCACAAAGACCATATAGTCATCCAGGAACTCTCTACTCTGACTGCAGAGCCCACAGAGGAGTTCCATACACACTTTGTCATTCTTGAAATATATCAATACTTGTTCACGATCTGAATGAGACAAAAATTGAAGGATTGAAAAAACTAAGTCATAGTGGTCACTCTTGCAACCTGAGAAAACGTCCTTGTTCAGAGTTTACGTTGTGTCAATAATTTAAGACAGTTTTCTTTACAATGCACTACCATGCTCTTTCCTCTGTCTCTACAGTAAATTAAGAGCACATCAAAAGCCACAAGAGGATCCCATCAACGACTATTAAATTATGCCTCGATAACGATTATTGGGATGAAAGTTCAGTCATTATAGCTTCTACAACTTCAGACTTGCACGATGAGACGACACAGTTGCAAAACGAGACAGTTCCTGAACATGACGCTCAAGACAAAACAAAATCACAAAAAAACGTATTTTAGATCGAACAATACTAGATGCCAATAGAAACCAGTAAAGATTCCATGATAGCAGACTGCTTGAAAGCAATCCATATAATGCATTTAGGGGATAGGCTGGGAGAGTTGGCCTTTATAACTTTCACATCACAGTTCTGGCAATTCTTTGATTCGGAGTCATTGCATTGGTACAAAGGGAAATTTAACTTGAATAAACCATTTTGCTGATATGCAAATCAAGCTAATTTACTTAACAAAGGCTTTCCCTTGTCGGCACATTCTGCATTTCGATATAAACCTCAGCAGTGCTGCTGGTGAGTGGGAGGTGAGCAATAACAATAACAAAATGGGGAAGGTAAGGAGGAGTCTTTAGATTACGTAGATAATATCATAGAATACATTTAAAACTTGTTTGAGAAACTTTGCTCGACAGAAAAAGTGCTTATACTTTTAGTTATATATTTATCTGCCTTGATTTGACTACTAAAATCAGAAGTAAAATTGGACTTTGATTCGATTTTTTGTCACTTCTGTAACTTCAAGCAGCATTGTATGTATTGCAGCTTGGCAGCGGAGCAAACATTACAGCCACATATTGGAAGAAGTACTGTATAAAAAGTATGGCTTGTATCTTACCAGGCTTTTCTGTCTCTCCCTCTTCCAGATTGTATTCTTTGAGGATAAGAATTTCCAAGGTCGTAGTTATGAATGCAGCAGTGACTGCCCAGACCTGCACTCCTACTTCAGCCGCTGTAACTCCATCAGGGTGGAGAGCGGCTGCTGGGTTCTGTACGAGCGCCCCAACTACGCAGGCTACCAGTACATCCTGACCCCTGGGGAGTACCCTGACCACCAGCAGTGGATGGGCTTCAACGACAGCATCAGATCCTGTCGCTCTATCAAAAACGTAAGCCTACCTACCAATAGTCCCAACTGTAAGCCTAGTTTGAAGATGCCACTGACGAATCTGACGTTTATTTGTGTCAGTAGATAGATACTGACAACTTGAGGCACAAAGTTCATAATCAGTGCTCAGGAAACAGTTTATTGATTTGCAATACTTCTAGCTTTTTTTTTTTTTTTTTTGACAGATCTTTTCTCGATCTTAAATGTATAGATTTTACATCAGACAGACATCACTAACTTCTTATTTATTTTATGCTTGTATATTTTGGTTTTGGCAATTAGAATGATAAAATGGTGTCTGACCAGATTTGGATGCAGGGCAATGCCCAGCTTGAATGGAATGCCCCAGGGTGCACCAACCAGGCAATGATCAGTCAAAAGCCAACAGACAATAAGGAGAGATAAAAGGCTCATGTTTTGGCAGCAGTTTGCCTCACGTCCAGGCCCATCCACATCAGTTGTTGAAGGAAACCAGGCCAACAGCCAATAAAACAATTTAAAGAGGCATCCCAAATATCATACAGATGAATGGCAATTCAAATAATTAACATGATTACTTTGATATGATTAATTAAGGATACTGGCATTTATGTATTTATTTTGCAGGTCTATGGAAATTCCTATAAGATCAGATGCTATGACAGGCCAGATTTCGCTGGCCATATGGCAGAGTGGAGTGAGGACTGCCCATCGGTCCACGAAGCGTTCAAGTTCCGGGAGTTCCACTCTGCTGTGGTGATGGACGGTGCCTGGGCCTTCTACGAACTGCCGAACTACAGGGGGCGCCAGTACTTCCTGGAGCGCAAAGAGTACCGTAACTTCACGGACTGGGGCGCCACCTCCCCTGTCGTGGGCTCCTTCCGCAGGATCACAGAGTTCTAGAACCTTACAGCCTCTAGAGTTCTAGAGCCCTACGACGACCCCTTTCCCAGAAACCTCTCTGCAGTGCCTTATGACACCCACCTCTGTGTGAGTGTTGCAGTCTAACAAATAAAACCCTGTCTGATCCGCACACACCCCGTTGTCTTCATCAATTTGACATGGGAATCACCGGGCATACGTGTTTTCAAGTACTGTATGTCAACACCAGTAGATCTACTCACACTGTTTTCTTTAGTAATCTTTGCCAGCATGTCAACAACTGTAAGATAGAGTAGAACAGAATAAAATACAATCCTTTATTGCCTTCCAAGGAACAAAGTCTTTACACAATCCTATACAAGTTACCCATACAAATGAACACAAACAGTTTGTAACATAGTACAGTGTCACACAATAAAAAGCCAGTTAAACATGTACAGTATAAGGGGCAGTGTTATGTTCCCTAAAGCCAACCCTAGATGTCATCGCTCAACAGAATAGGGAACTAACAAAGGAGTCACTTTGACAACAAAACCAAAACAGAAAGGGTTTCAAACAGGTACTGAAAGAAAACCCAAAAGATAGACCAAACTAAACAGGGGCGAACACAAGATTAAGGCTTTGTTTGGTTACCTGAAGTGGCAGCGCTAATGTGAGGCGTAACTCTCCCAACATCTCCTTTTCCAGCAGATGCACTGGTTCAGCAGGTCTTAAATACCAGCTGGGCCAGCACTGGTGAAACAGATCCTCACTAACGAGATCAATCTCTGGTCCAGCACAGGTGAAACCCATCCTAACGAGGTGACTCCAATCATTGCGCCTATCAGCTCTGAATTAAAAGTTGGATGATAAGAGCCTTACATGTTTAAATTCAAGAGGCATTACAATGAATCAGATTGTATGCAATTTTGCATTACTTTACCACTCAAAGACTGAAAAATAAAATGCTAGCATAACATGACATCTCAGCACACAACACAACTCAGCAAGAGTTGGATTAAAAAAGAAAGTCTCTGAACAAATGGAAGTCTCTGAACAATGAGCACACTCCCCATCTAATATTTAAGTCTAGAAACAAGGGATATGCAATACAACTGTGACAGTTTACATATTACATGTGATGTACTACAACAACTTTATCCAGGATCATATTCCAATGTTCTGAGTGTGAAACATGTTCACTTTGAAGTTACTCCTGGATCGTCATTTAGTTATGTTGATACTGTGTTCAATCCCCTGAGTCGATACATGTTAGAATCACCTTTGGCAGAGATTTCGGCTGTCTTTCTGGGTAAGTCTCTAAGAGCTTTGCACACCCGAATTGTACAATATTTGCACATTATTCTTTTTAAATTCTTCAAGCTCTGTCAAGTTGGTTGTTGATCATTCCTAGACAGACATTTTCAAGTCTTGCCATAGATTTTCAAGCCGATTTAAGTCAAAACTGTAACTAGACCATTAGGAGCTTTCAATGTCGTCTTGGTAAGCAACTCGAGTGTCTGTTTGGCCTTGTGTTTTAAGTTATTGTCCTGCTGTCTCCCAGTGTCTGTTAGAAAGCAGACTGAACCAGGTTTTCGTCCAGGATGTTGCCTGTGCTTAGCTCTATTCCGTTTCTTTTTATCCTAAAAAAAACTCCATAGTCTTTGCCGATGACAAGCACACCCATAACATGATGCAGCCACCAGCATGCTTGAAAATATGAAGAATGGTCCTCAGTGACGTGTTGTGTTGGATTTGTCCCAAACATAACGCTTTGTATTCAGGAGATAAAGTTAATGTGTTTGCCACATTGTTTTTGCAGTTTTACTTTAGTGCCTTATTGCAAACAGGATGCATGTTTTGGAATATTTGTATTCTGTACAGGCTTCCTTCTTTTCACTCTGTCATTTAGGTTAGTATGATGGAGTAACTACAATGTTGTTGATCCATCCTCAGTTTTCTCCTATCACAGCCATTAAACTCTGTAACTGTTTTAAAGTCACCGTTGGCCTCATGGTGAAATCCCTGAGCGGTTTCCTTCCTCTCCGGCAACTGAGTTAAGAAGGACGCCTCTATCTTTGTAGTGCCTGGGTGTTGATACACCATCCAAAGTGTAATTAATAACTTTATCATGCTCAAAGGTATATTCAATGTCAGTTTTTTTTTTACCCTCCTACCAATAGGTGACCTTCTTTGCGAGGCATTGGAAAACCTCCCTGGTCTTGGTGGTTGAATCTGTGTTTGAAATTCACTGTTCGACTGAGGGACCTTACAGATAATTGTATGTGTGGGGTACAGAGATGAGGCAGTCATTAAAAATAATGTTAAACACTATTATTGCACACAGAGTGAGTCCATGGAACTTATTATGTGACTTGTTAAGCAAATTTTTACTCCTGAGCTTATTTAGGCTTGCCATAACAAATGGGTTGAATACTTATTGACTCAAGACATTTCAGCTTTTCATTTGTAATTCATTTGTAAAAAATAAAATGACATTATGGGGTATTGTGTGTAGGCCAGTGACACACAATCTCAATTTAATCAATTTTAAATTCAGGCTGTAACACAACAATGTGTCCTAATTATTTGAGATAGCTACAATCAGAACTATAAAGCTATGTTGCCTTACAAAAGTTGTTTGAAATCTGTCTTGGAGTTGTGCTAGTGGGCTCTGCTGCAAGTTAAATATTTTAAGCAGAGATGATTTGGTTTGAAACTGAGCTATATGGATGAAGAAATGCAAAGGGAGACTACAGCAATCAACACCAACTTTGACCTCTGCACAAAATAATTGATGGTTTCATCAACAACGGCATGGACGCTAACAATTGACATTGAAAGTGGTATACTGAATATACAGGACTGCAATTGCATGAACTGTATGAACTGCATATAGATTCATATTTGGCCTTGTTATGACTTCACCTTTAAGACATGTGCTTCTGGGTTCTGTACAAGTGGCCTAGCAACTACTTTCTCCCTTCCTCTATAAGGAAAGGTTGCTCATATCATAATGAATACATAGACAAGAGGGCATTTGTATGCCCATAAAGACAGAATAATGTATTTAATTTATTACACAATTATTACAATGTATCAGTGCTGGACTTTAAAAATGATTTTAACAACATCTTAGAATGACACAATACGTTTATTTTTTATTTTTTACTTTTTATATTTTAAGAGTCATTTCGATGTGAAGATAATAAGGGATTGTGTAAAATAAGGGATATTGAAACAGTAGTAGAGTTGCAACATTTAGTTGTTTGTCCATTCGATACGGACAGCCTGTTAAGAGCATGTTAAGTCTTGGCCTAAATGTATCATGACATGGATTTTCATGGGTTAAAACATACAGTGAGACTCATTCGATTTCCCATCAGATTTCTGTGATTAATGTTTGTCTCAAGCTGCCCTTGACGGCCCGGGATTGGTTTGGATCCCACATCAACTGACTGAAATTTGGCACTTTCCACCTGCTATTGTGTGTGGATCGGTGATTCAGTGCTTTAGAACAATGCGTTGAGCCTAGATAAATATTTGAATAGCTGATTGAAATATCTGATTCACTTTGTGCTAACCATGTGCTTGGTGTTATTGTCTCTGCCATCTATAAAGAGTATACTTGCAGGCCCTGAGCTGTAGTGTCGTTCACTGTGCCTGGTATTCTGAACTCTGAAGAGATGGAGAAAGTGAGTTGTGTTCCGGTGAAGATTCCTGTAATTTCTGGAATTCTGGAACTATATGGAATTCAAAATTGTGACACACTGTCTCTTCTCTTCCAACAGATTGTGTTTTATGAGGATAGGAACTTCAAGGGGCGGTCCTACGACTGCAAAGGAGACTCCACTAACCTGCATGGCTTTTTCGCTCGTTGCAACTCTTGCCGGGTGGAGGGCGGCTGGTGGGTCCTCTATGAGCGCCCCAACTACATGGGTTACCAGTACATCGTAGGCCCCGGGGAGTACGCAGTCTACCAGCAATGGATGGGCTTCAACGACTGCATAAGATCCTGTCGGGTCATCAGAAACGTAAGTCATGTAAACTAGGAGACCAAAAAAAAAGGAACATGAAATACTGTATTAACAGAGAAACATGATGATGGCCCTGTTTAGGTTACTATCAGCAATTAGTTAGGCCCACACCTTTCAGAACTTCATAAATAGCCAATAATGACACAATCTTCGATGTTTGATCTACTTTTTCCCAGGCCACTGGCCCCTACAAGCTGAGGCTGTTCGAGAGACCCAACTTCGATGGTCAGTCCCTGGAGGTGACTGAGAACCTGCCCTCTGTCCAGGAGAATTTCCACAGCCGCGAGATCCACTCCTGCAAGGTCCAGGAGGGTTCCTGGGTCTTCTTCGAGCACCCCAACTTCCGTGGCCGCCAGTACCTGCTGGAGAGGGGGGAGTACTGCCGCTACACCGAGTGGGGAGCTCTGCATGCCAACGTGGGCTCCATCCGTCGCATCATAGCCACTGGAGAGAGATGACTGTAGTCACATGGTGTGATTCAAATAAACTTGTCTGATGATAAACGTGAGTTTGTTTCTGAGTATGATAGAGGTCACATGGAAGTATGGAAGAGCATGGAACTTTTATATCAAAAGGCATATATTATAAACACAGTGATCAATATCTTAGTAAATATAAATATATTTGTACAATAACAATTACTGTATACCATGAAAGGTGTATTCAAGGAATCCAAGAAGTAAAAACACAGAATGTTGCCCCGAGAATAAAGCCACAGTGTGTAAGATTTCCAGTCATTTCAATGAATTAAATATAATCCTTCATTTGGAAGAATAGGTAACACTTTACTGTAGGCACTTTATGACACATTCATAAAGCCTTTATAACTACTACAAAATAAATGATCAAATCTGTCATAGGCCGTTATTAACAATATGAACAATGGCATAAAATGTTATGAAGCTATTTATAATGGGCGCTATATATGACTAGCAAATCTGTTGTCACATGCTCATTTCAACTGTAACAAGTGACTCAAGTATATCTGCACAATACTTATTTTTACTTAGCCTAGTTGACTTGGATCTCTTGACCACATATATAGGCACAGCATGTAAACATCTTCCCTGCTTCCACTAAAGAAAGTCAACAGTTCATGCAAACAATGAGGTAGGCTAATAAAATAATTCTTACATAAACACAAAATAAGAGTCTTCTATCTGCCTAAAATATTGTCCTTGCCTTTGTGGGTTGTAGATTTTAGTTCTATAAAATAAGTGGGTAGCTTCTGACAAGAAATTCATGCTAAATTCATGGAATGGCATAACTGACCGCTTTTACAACCAAGGGCTCTCTTTGTAAAAAGACACCAGTTGTGTTGCCTTTGGGATCCACAACATCCATTTAGATATCCAAGTACTTTGCTTGAGAGAGTTTTAAATCCTGATAGAAATATGCAATATGCATGGGTAGAAATTATTATTAAGTCCAAGCAAATATGAAGACATTGGCAGATATATAAAACAACATACCACAAAGTGCTGCATTAACCTTTACAACACACACTTTTACTAGAAAACATTATTTAAATGATAAATAATGGCCTCCTGTAGCTCAGTTGGTAGAGCATGGTGCTTGCAACGGCAGGGTTGTGGGTTCGATTGCCACGGGGGCCAGTATGAAAAATGTATGCACTCACTAACTGTAAGTCGCTCTGGATAAGAGAGTCTGCTAAATGACTAAAATGTAAATCGTGACCCCACTGTCTCAGGGGGAGTGGGATATGTAAAAAACACATTTCTATTTCACACCACACACTTGTACAGGTTACACACTTGTGTGAAACAGGACAAATATAAGCACCCCCTATTTGCATTGTGTGATTGTCTTTTAGATGTTTGCCCAATACGGAGCTTATACATGGTCAGAGCCATGATCCTTTTTCTCAGGTGTAAAGGCATTTAGTGTTACTGACTTCAAGAAGAGTGATCAGAAATTACAATCCATCAACTGTATCTGAGTTAAGAGAACCCCAATGTTAGCCAACTCTGACTCGTTCTAATTGTGGTAGATGGAGGCTGGGGCATTGGTGTTGGAATCTTGAGGTGTATTGAACTGTAAGGAATTCATAAATACTGATCAGAAACCATAATCCATTTACTCTTTCTGGGTAACTCGATGTTGGCCGACTCTTTCTACAGTAAATGTGGTGGTGTACTGTGTACAGTAGCCTAGATGGAGGGTGGGGCATGATGGGTGTTGGAAATGCACCTGTCAGTTCCATTGCAGATGTTAAAGCTTACAGAACAGAGCCGTGTGGCCAGAAGCCAACTTCATGGAGGCCATCGCACAACCAGCTGCCCGGAGAACAATTTAATTACATCAATAAATCATTTTCTGGAATCAGGCATTGTAAGATCAAAAGGTCAACCTGTATACAATCACTGGGTAAACATTATATAAAGCGGGCACACTTTTAAAACAATTGCTGCATCAGCTATTGTGCCGATATAAATGCTGAGGCTATTCAAATGACAATGATTCCCCTGGCAGTGCATTTCAATGTCCCACATATATAAATCTGGCCCATGGCAGTGGCGATACCGCTGTATGTGAAAGGAGGTATAAACATTGAGTTATCAAAAAAGTTGTTGATAAGCCCCAATCATGGACCGCATCGGAAAGGTAGGTCGTTTAATAGTCATTTTTCTTTTTGCCCTGTCTCTATATTCGTACCTAATTGGGTTGCAAAAGTCCAGAAACCTTCCAAAAGTTACCTGTTTTTTAAGAAATCCTGGTTGGAGGATCTCCGGAATCAGTAGTGAATGAGCAGAGAGGGAATTCTCCAACTTGTAATCCTCCATCCAGGATTTCTGAATATCCTGAACTTTGTGAAAGTTTCAGGAAATTTGCAACCACGTAATTTACCTTGCATACTCTCACCCACTAGCCTGGTCAAGCAAAGTGACCACTGCGCTCATGTTAAGTTTCACTTTAAGTTAAAGACAATGTGCGCTATTGCAAGATCAGTCTGGTTTCACAAGCCTTCTCACCCACCTCCCCTATTCTTAATCCACAGATCGTCTTCTATGAGGACAAAAACTTCCAGGGTCGCCACTTTGAATGTTGTAGCGATTGCCCTGAGCTGAGTTCACACTTTAGCCGCTGCAACTCCATCCGTGTGGAGAATGGGAACTGGGTGTTGTACGAGAGGCCCAACTACCTGGGCTCTCAGTACATTTTGACCAGGGGGGAGTACCCCGACTACCAGCGCTGGATGGGCTACAATGACAGCATCAGGTCCTGCCGCGTCATCCGCAACGTGAGTCCTACCCAGGAGGCCAAGGATTTGGCTTGAAGATTGGGGGCCATGCCAGGCAGTATTGGTTTGGGTTATGGCTAATAGAGAAGAGAATACAATATATATATTCTCTCTCTCTCTCTCTCTCCGTCCTCTCTCTCGGCTCTCTATCTCTCTCTCTCTACTCTCTATGCTCGCTCTCTCTCTCTCTCTCTCTCTCTCTCTCTCTCTCTCACACTCACTCACTCACTCACTCACTCACTCACTCACTCACACTCACACACTCTCTCACTCAAACACTCTCTCACTCACTCACACACACACACACACACACACACACACAAACAAACCTGCGTGTTAAAACATATGTCCTGTGCAGCCTAAAGGCAGGCTTATGAGGAGACAGAAATAGTAGATAAGAAAGATATTACAGCCAAGCTGTCACAACTCAAAACCTAGAAAACCCACAAAGTTGCTGTCAGTTAGAGCAGTGGAGGATGCTTCTTGGAGAAGGATAGTCAAATGTCTTCCCACATATATTTTTCTGTGGGACCAAATCTTGCATATCTCCACCCAGCATTTTCCCCAATAGCTTTCCCAATAGCTCTTCCCACTATCTCATCAATCATACTGTACAACCATATGACGTGAATATGCTGTAATGCATCCAATCAAAACCAGTTACCAGGTATTCGAAATAAGCAAAGAAAACATAACAAAACATACTAATATGCAGGTATATCTTTTTGATTCACGCTGTAGTTGAGTATTAGACTAGTTGATTACATGAATCCTAATGTGCAATTTCACAGCACAGATCTGGAATCAGATATGCAATGCCTTAAAACAGTTAAAAAAGTTATGAGCATGGGTATAGAAATATGAAACGACACAGTATATGTGTACGTGCATATCCTAAATACAAATCCTATTGGGTATTCCACCCCTACCCCCCAGACCTCTGGCATGTTCAGGATCCGCCTCTACGAGCATCCTGACTTTGCAGGTCAGATGATGGAGTTCAGCGAAGACAACCCTAACCTCCCAGAGCACTGGCGTCACCCCGAGGTGCACTCCTGCAAAGTGATGGATGGCGCCTGGGTGTTCTACGAGCACCCCAACTACCGCGGCCACCAGCACCTACTGGAGAGGGGCGAGTACCGCCACTTCACCGACTGGAGGTCCAACGTGGGGTCCATCCGCCGTGTTCAGAACATTTAGAGCTGCCTCACAACATGCCTGTTTATAATCATAACTGTTATTTGCACATTTATTAATAAAATGAAAACATTGTGCTCAAATGAGAGATGGCCCTTTCTGTTCTTTCACCTGACACCTGCATGTCCCCACCCCTCATGGGCTTCCGCACTGCTTTCACTACTACACCCAAGAATGGTCATTTAGAAAACAGCTCATTCTTTTACATGGAGATATCCTATCATCAGAGGAAAGGTAAGCTTGACTAGACAAATTAACTTAGCACCTGTGATATCACAAACTATCATCAAACTCTGGGGTTATATTTTACTGTAAACTGAGACTCCTCTATACTGGTGGTTTCTAAAACAAGGGGTATATTTTATTAATTGTAATTACTTTAATGGGCTAAAAAGTAGTCACTTCAATTAACTTCAGCCATGAAAAGTTTGGATGCTGCAACTATCAAGGCTTATAGCAGACTATCAATACTTATTGCAGGCCAACAATACTTTTTGCAGACCATCAAGACTTATTGCAGACTAGCAATAATTGTTACAGACTATCAAGACTTATTGCAGACTACAAAAACCGTATCATAGACTATCAAAACGTATTGTAGACTATAAAGACTTATTGCCAACAATCAGAATCAATCAGAATCACTTTACATTTTAATTTGACTTAGTGAATAGGTGTTGCCAGCAATAGACAACGTACAAACAGAATACAGACAAAGTCAACATAGTCAACATACAGGATATACAATATAAATACAATAAATATAAAACATAAAACTCTGGAGTAAAGTTGATTTACAGTGAGGATATACAGTACAATTTACAGAGGGAATATATCTATATATGCAGAGGAAGGGATGCTCCCGTGACAAATACTGTATATATAGTGTAGTGCAGAGGTGTACATAGTGCAAATGCACTAAAGTATAATCAAGACTTATTTAAGACTATCAAGACTATTGGAGACTATCAATACTATTGGAGACTATCAAGACATATG